CGTTCGCCAAAAACTATTTTCTCAGCTTCAGTGCTCACCAGAGCCGATTATGGGCTCGCCATTTTAAACATTATAAGGATATTTTCCGTGTCGCCGGCATTAAAGGACTGACCATTTCATCATTTAACAAACGAGAAATGAGTTATACTTTTGAACACAAATTTGAGAAACAACTACGATTATTTCCTTTGCGATGGTCGATTGGTAAGACGTACATCGGGCTTTTACGGGAAGGTAAACTAGACTGGTATAATTTCGATTTATTTTACTCTAATATCATACTCCAAATAGATTTTTCAAAAACTGGGCACCACTTTTCATTCCATATGTATGGACCAGAAAAATTTACAGCGTGAAATTGCGAAATAGCTACGTCGTACTAAATATGAAACAGTTGCTACCCTTGACGCTGTGCGTCGTGGATTGGCTCAATAGGCCGACTGCTGCCTACACTGTTTTCACAATTTCCGCACCATTTGTCGCAGTGGACCTGTACATGGGCGTAGCCTGGGGCGGAGCCCCCCCTCCTAACTTCCAAATTTTTGCCTAGAAATTCAAAAATAGTACCACGAAATGCTTTCTTGATAACTTCGGTCCCCCTAACTTTCAAGGTTTTTCCTATATATATACTGTACAACAAACTATACTCCCAACGCTAACAAAATAGTTAGTAAATTGATTTAAAAAGTGGATATGTGGATCATCCGCTTCTGTATCAAGTTATTCTCTGGCTGCAGTCGACAATGAGCAAAAATAGTTCAATTGTTTATTACTTTGTCTTTATGTTTGTGTCTTTTCTAAGCGTACAACGAAAGTTTTGTATCACAGAACCAATCTGAGATTATTGATAAAACTATAAACCGGTTGGGTGAACAGCCAAGACTTTTAATTCTTAAGTGTGACAAAACAAAATCAAGTAATATATTTAGCATAAATGAATACATCAGCATAAAAAATCTGCACACTCAAAATGTTCAGTACGTCCTCATATTTACACATACCTATGTATATAATTTAAGAGAAGATATTTCGCTGCAAAGCAATGATTATAAATTGTTAGTTTACCTTACACAATTGCGGAGGAATATTACAGAGTATAGGATAAAAGTTTATTTTTTTACATTTTTTATTTTGAATAGCGTCTGGTCCGGCTATTTGGTTTACTAAACAGGTATGTAGAGCTATGAATTTAAAAAAATACATCAGGGTTTAGTTGAGATATTCGCTTTTGACCACTATGTTTTGTACATTTCCCAGTACTGCAAAGCTTTTGACTGCCATTCAACTGGGAGTGGCCCGCGTGCGCTGCACAGTGGTTCGGATCACAAATCTAGCTGGACGAAACTATTTAAACAAATACTCGTTGATGGATCTTTACACCACTTCTTACCTAGGGGATTTTTGGGTCGCTGATTACGAATCTGAGGTCACTTATCAAAAATTCAAAATGGCGGATCCAATATGGCGGACAAAAATAAAAAAATCGGTAGATTTCTAAGAAACTGGGTATCTGGGGGTTTTCTGGGTCGCTGATTACATCTCTAAAGTCATTTACCAAAAATTCAAAATGGCGGATCCAATATGGCGGAAAAAAATTTAAAAAAAAAATCGCTAGATTTCTATGTAACTGGGTATCTGGGGGTTTTCTGGGTTGCTGATTACGAATCTAAAGTCATTTACTTCATTTACTTTATTTACTTCGAAACGAGCATTTTCATCAGATATTTCTTTCAATTTACTAATCACATAATCACGGATACCTTGTTGTCTTTTAGAAGTTTCAGCAACACTTTTCCAAATGTCAAAAAACTCACTTCTTAAGATTTTATTTACCATGACTAAAATTTAAGATCACAGCAAGAAACACAAATAAATTTCAGAAAAAATTGTTTAACAGCGCTTAAAGATTTTTATGCCTGTTGTATAATTTTTTAATTTCAGAAAGCAAAAATTCGCGAGTTACTATTTTTTTTTTTAACTCTTACATAACCAAAGTTTTTATAACTCCAAGTATTTTTCTGTTTTAACACACAACCCCTACCGCCTCCTCCCCCTCCCCCCCTCTCCCCCGTGGATCCGCCACTGATCTTATATTTATATTCAGATACATTCCTGTTAATAATTACTTTTGAATTTTGAGATTTGACATACCGTCACTAAAATGTAAATATCTAAGCCAATTGGTTAGACTTGGTTATCGAACTTACCCTCTGCATTTGCGAAGGTGTAAAGAATAATATGCAAGTGGTTTTATAACGGCCTTCGGCGGCCTTTACTTTTCCTACTCTTTAATTTTTTTTTTTATTAATCAAAACGACGATTTTTCAGAATAAATTTGCTTTTACCAATGTGGACATAAATTGCTTTATGACCTCCGAATCTATAGCGGAATAAGTGTAATTTTTTGTTTATAAAGTCAATTTGCAATTATGCAAATTTCTGTGAGTGCAATTAGCAATCTTTTAAGTTAAATTTCAGCTTTTAAAATAGAGTTCTCGAATAGGCGGCGTTGACTTACCTTTGTTTGTTTGTTTTCATATGTTAATGCTTTAATAAATGCAATTTCTATTTGAATGTATTGTCAGGAATGTATTCCAAGTACCATTAAGTATTTTAAAAACAAAAAAAATTTGACTTTCGTCCAGCTAGATCTGCTATCCGAACCACTGTGCGATGGGTTTGGGTCCCGCCACGTTAAAACCCTGCCCAATGAAAAAAAACACATGCCTCGGATGATACCCCCTTCTTTTGATGACGATCACGGCAAACATAGGAAGGACTATGATTTTAGGGTATGCACTTGGAATATCCGAACCCTTAATCGGGATGGTGCCCCTGCCCGACTGGTTGATGTCCTAGGGAAAATAAAGGTGACATCACCGCCACACACGAAATGCGATGGACGGGGCGAGAGAGCAAGCGTGGAGCCTTGCGACGTCTACTACAGTTGCCACGTAAAGGAGTGCGATTCGGTGTTGGATTTGTGGTGGGAGAGAGACCGGCGTTCACTCTAAACTTGGCAGTATGTGTTACTGGGTTCTAGCATAAAAAGATCCATCGAGCTACATGGATGTCTCCACATCGAAAAACGGGAAACCAAATCGAGCATGTTGTGATAGACGGAAGGCATGCTTCCATGTTTTAGATGTACATACGTACACTCCGAGGGCCAAACATCGACTCGCACTACTATAGTGATGCATCCAATATACGACCCAACCTCGGAGCAGCAAAAAAAAGGGCCCCCAACAATGCAACGAAAGTTCAACGTCGAAAAGCTGCAATCAAAACAGACGGCCAATGGATTCGGCGCTCGACCTTCACACCTGCTGTGAGAGAGCTCTCTTCAACAAACCAACTTGCGCGATCAGTGGAACCACATTTCCCGCTCATTACTGGTATGATGAGGAGTGTGAGAAAATGCTTGAAATGCTGGCCGACAGAAAAAACACCCGAAATTTTTAGCAGAGAGTTAAGCGCCTTACGGAAGGTTTCAAGACTCTTGTAGGAACAACCATGGCGACATAGTGACCGATGTCCAGAAAGTACTCAGATTATGGAGGGAACACTCTTCGACCATTTTGAATGGCAGAAGCACTGAAAGAAGTGGAGAAGACGAACCTGAGGTCCCAGTCGATGACGATGGAGTCGATATCCCAGCGCCTGACTATGGCGAAAAGTGCCAAAGCTGCTTGAGCTGACGGCCTGTCAGCTGAGCTATTTAATTACGATGGCAAGGAGGTAATAAGGTGCATGCCCGACGACTGGAATTCAAGTGCGCTCTGCCCAATCCACAAGAAAGGCGACCCCGCCATGCGTGCCAACTACCGCGGGATTAGCCTAAGCATAGGTTGCAAGGTCTTATCGAATGTATTGTCTACCATAGACCAGGTATTCACAATACGCCAAATCTTGGAAAAGACCCGCGAGAAATGGCTCGGCACTCACCACCTATTTGTCGACTTTAAAGCCGCTTACGACAGCACTAAAATGAGTTTCCTATATGCCGCTATGTCTAAATTTGGCATCCCCTCAAAACTCATACGGCTGTGAAAAATTACGTTGAGCAATATCACCAGCTCTGCTCTGTTGCCGTTCGCCCCCAGAGGGGGTTTCAGGCAGGGCGACTCTCTTTCATGTGACTTCTTTAATCTGATGTTGGAGAAGATAAAAAGATCTGCAGAACTGAACCGCTCAGGATCAATTAACTACAAGAGCTTATGCCGATGACACCAACATCATCGGTAAGAAAAACTGCGAAGTCTATCCTGGCTTTTCCAAGTTGGACAAGGAAGCAAAGCGAATGGGTCTGGTGGTAAACGAGGACAAGATGAGGTATCTCCTGTCGTCAAACAAACAATCAGCACATTCGCGCCTTGTCACCCACGTCACTTTTGACAGTTATAATTTCGAGAAAGTAGAGAATTTCGTTTACTTGGGCACCAGCATTAACACCGATAATAATGTCAGATGGAAATCCAACGCAGAATCGCTCTTGCCAACAAGTACTGCTTTGGACAGAGTAGGCAATTCAGGAGTAGGGTAGAAGGGGGAGCATTCGCCATTGGGGCACATGCGCCACCCATCGTATTCTTCAAAGTTACTAGTGCTGTCGATCTTTGAAAATCGATAACTTGTGCTTCAGTCGACCACATCTCTTCTTTTTTGGTTTTTGTAGCGATCAGTTTGTAGAATATATTTTTGGTTCACTTGTAGGCTGGTGTGATCTATTATTTAATGGTGCAAATAAAGCACTTATTCCACCTTCGTTGCCCAACGTTTCGCTGAAATTTCCAGCATCATCAGGGGCGACTATGTTTATTAAATCCAACAAAGAAATACAAGGAAAAATCAAAAGATGTTAAAATGAATAATACAAGTTGGCATACATGTGTTTGTAAAAACAAAGACAACAATTATGGACTAATGCAAAGAACATATACTCACAATAATATTAAACATTTGCTTTAAACTTAATATTAATACATAAACACATAATCAGTACCACTCTCTATGGTAGTCTTGTCATTACTAAATTGTTTATTTTGATATGCATAACATGTAGGCGGCCGCGATGTTGTCCGTATCTTCTTTTTTGTTGATCGTATTCTCTCTTTTTTCTAATATTCTTAAGCTTTCCAAAGTGTATCTCGTCATTTCCCTCTTTTCCTTGTCAATAATCCTAGTGTTAGTGAAATCAGCTGTGTGGCCGCTGTTTAATATGTGCTGTGATAGGGCTGTGCTGTGTTTTTGTTTCCTTATATCTGTTTGATGTTCGGCTATGCGAACACCTAATGCGCGTTTTGTTGTCCCTATGTACACTTTAACCACGGTGGAGAGAATACAGAGGTGGCGCCGATGACGATACCGCTACTCGGCTCTCAGTGATTTTGACAGAATCAGCTGTTTTGGTGACGTCATAGTAGAGAAGACAGCAGTAGTGATGTACTGAGTCAATACTTTTAAGTACCCAATACTCTCGATACTCGGTACTGAAACATTTAGGTTTCGAATAAAAGTGCACATAGGCCAAAAATATGGAAAAAACCCCTAACAAAACCCGAATGTAAGAGCCAATAGAGCTTTTTTACTGATTCAAATGAAAGATGTATATATGTCGGTTCGATGCCATAATACAGAGAAACCCTTACTTGTTTGAAGCATTTTTGTTCCAGCTGAATCGGACGATATCATTTTTTAGGCCTGGGACAGATTCTGTAACCAGTTAACGACAATTTTCGAATCGGTATCGGTTTTGTCGACGTTTGATATCAAATATTTGTAAGTCAACAAGTGCGATATCGATCCGAAACTTGTCGCTAACTGGCTACAGAATCTCTCCCCTGAAAGGCTTCTTCATCCGTCAAAGTATTTTTCTTGAACCTTGGATCGACTAAGGCTAAAACTGATAAAATAATATTTTTCTGTGGCGATAAGTTCAAGTGTTTTAGCCGATATCATATAAATTAGTAATGAAAGTTTTTTCTAAACCTGAAATGTATATAATGGCGAGGGTTTAATGTAAATAATCGGTATCGGATAACGAAAAGGAAGTATAGGGTACCGAAATCTTTTTTAAGTATTGGGTACCGAGTATTGGGGACAATTCAGAACATCACTAGTCGCCCTCATTCTCGCCGCTCTCAGTTGTCAACTCTACGATGACGTCACGCTAAAATTACTCTCACGAATTCTGCTGCAATCGGCGCAATCTTGTATTCTATCATTCTTGCACTTTACCACAGTTTTCGTTCTCTTTGCCCTTACATTTTATTTCATAAACAACGTTGTTTTGTTGCTGTATGTATAGTGGGCTTTTTGTTCTTGTGTAGATTCTAGCTAACGTGTTATTTGTTTTGTAGGCGAGAGTTATATTTTGTTCCTTTAATGTGCTGTGATCAAAGTTTTCGCTTAGCTTGGGGATGTAAGTGACGCTGTAGTACTTCTTTGGTGTATTTGCTGTTGCTGTGGTTGGCGTTTTATTTTGCTGATTTCCTATTCGCATTGTTTCTTGTTTTATTAGTTCGCGTATCAGGTGGTTGGGATAATTGTTGCTTTTCAAAATGCTGTGTATTTTCTCTATGTTGGCTTCATGAAATTTTTGTTCGCTTATCGTCAGTATTTTGTGTATAAGATTTTTCGCGGTGCTGATTTTATATTTTCTTGGTTGGGAGGAGAGATAACTGATCAGGCGTCCAGACGACGTTGGTTTCGAGTACCAGTTTAGAACAATATTGTTGTTGTTTTTGTGTATACGGACATCAAGGAAATGTATGTTCGCGTTTTCTTCCATTTCCATGGTAAACTGAAGTTTTGGGTGGTATTTGTTTAGCGTCTCTAGAACTGTATTCACGTCGTTGCGGTTTGTTATTGCAAAAATATCGTCTACATATTTGTTGATAAACTTGATGTCAATGTGTTGTTTCAGCTCCGAGATGGTGTTGTCCAGAAGGTCGTCCATAATGATGTCGGCAATTGTCGGTGAGAGGGGGTTGCCCATTGGCATTCCAAATGTTTGGGTGTATAGTTTGTTATTGCACATGAAGTAGTTATTATCTTTAAGGCAGAAGTCAAGAATTTGTTGGAATTTGTGTTTTGGAATGCTGGTTGTCCGTTGTATCTGGTCCCACTTTTTCATAATAATTTTTGTGGCTAACATTGTCGGTATATTCGTAAACAAGGAAATGACATCGAACGACACTAAAACATCTTCATCACATACACTTATATTCGTTAATCTCTCTTTCAAGTTAAACGCATTCTTCACATTGTATCTCTCTGAAATCAATGGCTTGAGTATTTCTCCGACATATTTGGATAACTTGTAACAGGGGACCATGACTGACGAAGCAATGGGGCGTAAAGGAACTTGCGGTTTGTGAATTTTCGGCAGGCCATATAGCCTTGGCGCTGCAGCTGCGGTGCTGGTGAGAAGCTGCTTTTCCCTTTTGTTTATGTGTTTGGCTTTGTAGAGCTCATCAACTATTTTATTGTTTTTTCTCTGCAGAGTGCTCGTTGGGTCTGTTCTTGAAGTTTTGTATGTGTTTTTGTCTTCTAGTAATTTGTTTATCTTTTCAATGTATTCCGATTCGTACATTGCTACTGTCTTATTGCCCTTGTCAGCATCTGTTATAACAATGTTTTTGTGGGATCTCAGAAACGCCTTTGTTTGGTTAAATGCAGCTAGAATGAATTTTTCGGCAGAGTTGTGTTTAATATTCCGTTTGAACAGTAGAATTCTGTTGCTCAACTTATTTCTCGCTGTTTCTTTCTCCTTTTCGTTTTTTATCCCCATGATTATTTGTTCCATTTCTGCTATAGTGAGTATTGTTGAGAAACTTGTCCTTGTTGTTGGTAATGTGAACTTTTTCCGCAGCGATAGTAGCCACCTTACCTCTTCGGGAAATTTGACGTTCGTTTTGTTCACAAACCAATTGTTGTTCTTTTGTATTCCCAGCTTCCGCATCTGTTCGTGTTTAAGACTCTCAATTTTTGATGTGAGTATTGATTCTTTTTCCTTCGCAGTTTTTGGCTTTGGGCGTTCTGCTTGCTGATGAACGCGTCGAATTCTGAGCTACTTAAGGTGACTTTTAGTTGTTGTTGTGCATGCAATAATAGATCTTTTGCTATTTTAATGTTTATTTTTGTTTGTGTTATCTCGATGTTTAATATTTTTGTGAGAAGTTTCTCTGAAGTTGTATTAATTTTTAGATTTTTGATCGAGCTTGTCAGATAATTTGGCATTAGCCCGTATTGTTTGCATCGCAATAGAAATTTAAGCTGCTCCATCTGTTTTGCTAATTTGTGTTTTTGTTTACTGTAGTGTTTCAGTGTGATGCATGTATGCTCTCCGTGTGTATACTTCATATGTTTGTAATAGTCCTTCATCTTGTACTAGTGTTGCTATTTTGTTGGTAAAATAAACGATGTTCAATATATCGGCAGGCCTTCCGAAATTAATGTTTTTTGGTTTTTGTAGCGATCAGCTTGTAGAATATATTTTTGGTTCACTTGTAGGCTGGTGTGATCTATTATTTAATGGTGCAAATAAAACACTTATTCCACCTTCGTTGCCCAACGTTTCGCTGAAATTTCCAGCATCATCAGGGGCGACTATGTTTATTAAATCCAACAAAGAAATACAAGGAAAAAACAAAAGATGTTAAAATGAATAATACAAGTTGGCAAACAGATATAAGGAAACAAAAACACAGCACAGCCCTATCACAGCACATATTAAACAGCGGCCACACAGCTGATTTCACTAACACTAGGATTATTGACAAGGAAAAGAGGGAAATGACGAGATACACTTTGGAAAGCTTAAGAATATTAGAAAAAAAGGATAATACGATCAACAAAAAAGAAGATACGGACAACATCGCGGCCGCCTACATGTTATGCATATCAAAATAAACAATTTAGTAGTGACAAGACTACCATAGAGAGTGGTACTGATTATGTGTTTATGTATTAATATTAAGTTTAAAGCAAATGTTTAATATTATTGTGAGTATATGTTCTTTGCATTAGTCCATAATTGTTGTCTTTGTTTTTACAAACACATGTATGCCAACTTGTATTATTCATTTTAACATCTTTTGTTTTTTCCTTGTATTTCTTTGTTGGATTTAATAAACATAGTCGCCCCTGATGATGCTGGAAATTTCAGCGAAACGTTGGGCAACGAAGGTGGAATAAGTGCTTTATTTGCACCATTAAATAATAGATCACACCAGCCTACAAGTGAACCAAAAACATCTCTTCTTATTTACTCTGAAAGTTCATCGTTGCAAGTGGTTGTAGATACTCGCTTTTATCCACTTTTTCGCATTGTTGGGAAAAGTTTTGTGGCTAAATATGTTTTGTAATAATTTTGTGAATCTTCGTGTTATGCAATAGTTTTTTATTTGTGGAATACCGCCAATGTTGCTTTAAACGAAATCGAAAGCTTGTTCTATTTCATTGTGTATGACTCTTAAAAAAAAGTGAGTTTTATAAAAGGGATTACACGTTGGGCAGATCCACCAGACTCCAAGTGGGGTTGTTTCGCCGGCAAAAGTGCCCCATGGGGTAAATGTGCCGCTGATGTAACTATGTGCCCCATGAGGTAGATGTCCCCCTGGAGTAGCTGATGTTCTAGTAAATGCTGCAGAAAACTCAACCCAGGATGATTCTTTCAAACATCGTGTTTCCACCCGCCATTACGAGCACACTCCAAGCATTCTTACCCTAATACTTAAAAAGCGCAAATTGCGAATAGAGTGGCAGAGACTTCGTTCTCGTTCGTTAGTTATACAGGAACTAGATCCATGTAAGAAAGAACTAAGTTGCTTGTTGGAAGCAGAAAAAAAGACGCGCCCTCGGTTCTTCAAAACTTGTCTGCCTCATGCCAGACAAATTTTTCTCTCTGACGTACCATGAAGTATGAAAAGAAACCGGTGCTTCGAGAATCGCCTATCGCGCTCCTAATGAGAACTGGGCAAGGAGTGATGGAAATAAAGTAACAGCTTTTGCTCAACATCTTTCAGACGTTTTTAAGATCAATGAAAGTCCCACTCCTTCAAACATCTTAATTACTAATAGTAACTCAACCGCTATTTCCCTTCGATTCAAGCTCAACGATTTAAGAAATGCCAAAGCCAATGACATAATATCTGAAATAATTATAGTACCTAAGCCAGGTAAAGATCGGACCATTGCAACCCATGATAGCGCAAAGCAATACCATACCTCGGCATTAGTTTGGGGTTCGGGAAAAGCCATTGGTACCTTGGAGGAAGTACACCGAATAGTCTAATAAATTAGGGAATCCTTTTGGAGAAAAACATTACTATATTATTATTATTATGCTCCTTATAAGAAAAAGTGTTGACTTAAGAAATTTGAATTCAATACAATATTAAAGTTACTTATGTTCCGCTTTTTCGTCTTGACGTTCCCACCCCATATCGATGGCGGATCTACCCCATGGGTGGGGCAGTTTCACCATTTTGGGTCGTTTCAAAAATCATTAAAAAACCTATAGACATTGCAGAATGACGATGAATATAAGATGCTAAATGATGTATATTTCGAGATGACCAAGCATTAAACAAACGAAATGATCGGTGTACTTTCGGCAGAGATTTAAAAAGAAAGTGGCGAATGCTCCCCCTTCTACCCTAAAGGCCTCTCTCGACGTACGAAAACCACACTATAAGTCACTCATCACGCCCGTGCTGGTGTATGGCGAATTAAAATGCAGCGGCTCAACTGGCTTGACCATGTCGTTCGAATGGACACCGACGCCCCAGCTCTGAAAGTATTCTGGCTTCACTTGGCATTTCCAATTGGCGTCAGTTGGCCAAAATCTCTTTGGCGGTTACAGCGCCAAATAAGAATAAGAAGAAGAAGAGAATATATCTGTAACCTTATCAGTCACACAGTGTTATAATCCCGACGAAATCACTGACGGTGGTACCGGGAGGGGAACGGTACATGACGGTAGGAAGTTTAGTTTGGGTCAAAGTCTCACACTGACGGGGTCAGGCTTTCGATGCTTCCTCCTCGTAAAATAAACATGCTCAGTAAAAAGTTAACAATTTAAATCGACGAATAGTTTTATATCAACTTTTGTGAACTTCTGTTTATTTGTTTTTTGTACAACACATTTACCTCTATTGGTTACAATAATTTTAAGCTATAATAAACAATTTTTTAGTAAGTAAGTTATTGGGTTTGAATTTTTATTGGTTGAGAATGTATAAATATTTATTTTAATAACTAATTGTTAAATTTGTTGAGTAGTCCTACTTAATCTTTAATACAACTTTCTCCACAACAATATAAATATTTATTTTAATAACTGATTGTTAAATTTGTTGAGTAGTCCTGCCAACGCAGTTATTTAATATTAATATTAAGAAATCTTAAATACAACGGTTTCCACAAGAATATATAAATTTTTATATTAATAACTGATTGTTAAATTGTTGAGTACTCATATCAACGTAGTGATCTAATATTATTATTAAGAAATCTTTAATACAACGGTTTCCACAATATTGAATAAGTTTAGGAACAAATTGTAA